TACCCCATGTGCAGAACATTTTGCGACTACTGTCAGAACTCCAATAGCTCTAGGCCCACTTTTGCGCTCTTCATACGGCATAAATGGACCATAGTGCGCCTTCACCTTGGAGATCCTCAGGTCCTGCATTGCGACAAATGCGGCAGGGGATTTCGCGGCGTGAAAGCTTATTCAATGAGTTTTCAAACCTCAAAAACACCGTCCCGCGGCGACTACATCTCTTCGACATGCATGAGGTTGAAATGCTTCTGGTCGTTGAGAAGCAGCTGATGGGCCGGCCTGGCGAAGGAGACGAATCACCCTAAGAAACGCGAACAGATCAGCAAATTCGCAGCGCTGCGCTCCATCGACCCTGCCAGGTTTTCCAAAGGATTTCTCGCATCCAACAAAGCCTTTTTTTACTCTGGCGTGGGGTCTTTTGTGAACGAGCCGCAGGAGTCCTCGGAGTTACTAGCGTGGACATTTCCGATCCGCAAGACAGGGAGCAACTTCGCCCACATGCAACTCGACACACAAGTCACCCTGTACAACGGAACGGCAACGAATGTTAAATATGGTCAACTACTCTTGCCCACTGACTACATCCGCTACTCCTGTTTCAACAAAGATTGTGTTTGCCGAGGCGCGACACACGCAGACCCGTCGATGGCGCACATTGCACATGTCATAGCTGTGGGCAAGGATTACCAAGAACGCTTCAGCAGATGCGAGCGCCGCGATGCAGCAGTCTTAGTTTATGAAGCACTTCAACATTCCGACCTCCGCCCTTCGGGACAGCGTTCCTCGCATACACCCCGAAGGCGGCTCGGTGCGTCCCGCTTTTCCGTGGCTCCAAGCTTGTCATCCAAGAACAAGATGTTTGTATCCCGGAGGATTCTATCATCGACATTGTAAGCGACACTGCTTTACGTTGTGACGGAGGTCCACGGGGATCCTTCCGCAAGAGACGAAATTGGGAGTATGGCTTCCAAAACAGCCGTCAACGGATCATCGGCAGCAGAACGTCCCAAGGTTCTGAAGAATGTGAGAAACTTCAGAAAGTACGAGTCGCGCTTGAATTTGCAGGATGAAGAGGCCACTTAGGGTTTCGATTGGGTTGCCTGGCATCTTTCGCAACCCGTTTTGATTCCCTTTTGTCATACCCATTCAGTGCATGGTCAGCTTGGACTTGAGCCATAAGTGCCCACATCTTTGCCATGATGTGTTATAGGGCCGGTCTGCATACACGTCCGATCTTCATTTGCGCAGTCTCCATGGCCTTGGATTGCATCGCAACGCTTTCCGATCGACCATGGGTGTGTACCTTATACCTGCTGGTGTGACACTCCCTGATCGGGAAAGCCGAATGAATATCTTGTTATTAGCCCTCGGCCCGCACGGCTGAAGGCGAGTGACGTATCGGAGACTCTACTCACCATGTAAGGCCTTGACGCGGAGTTTCGAGTTCGTCGTCTATGGCCAAGATGGATTCCTTTGTATCCCATCGCGGTGCTGTACCGGCGACATGGTTCATCAGTCTGAACCTACGGTGAAAGCCCCAAAACAATAGGCCTCATCGGTTCTGTTTAATTGAATTATGGCCCTAAACACGACAGCTTAACCCACCATCAAAGTTCTCAACTTCAATATCGTTGCTCATGGTCTCTACCATCAGCTATCGATGCAAGAGATGGTTTCATGTGACACGTTAATGAGTACGGCCTTGCTTTTCAGCTTGTGGACGTCTCACCGACTCTCCCTCCATCTTGACAACTACACGCCGGCAAATCACCCAAAATGGTCCATTATTGTGCCAATCCTGTCACACTCATGAGGAACCGCAGATTACTTGGACGATCACATGCTGGAAGAGGAAGTGAAGCGGGTGCTCGGTTATGATGCCTGTCAAGACCGACCATGCTAACTTTGATTCACAGCCACTTGTCGACTTCATCGTGGTTGCATGTGCGAAATCGGCAAAGAGCGACAGCATGATCACGGACGGACAAATCAGCGCGTACGGAAGATGATGCATTTACAGACTTTTGGTGAAGTTGGGCCATCGTACGTGACACATCCCCTCCAAGACCCGCCGCTTACTCTCCAGGCGGCGCGAGAGAAATTCACAGGAAATTTCGGCCAGCAGTACTAGCCAAACCCTTCATAATACCTCACTTTCATATGATTGTCACATACGACCATACCCATTGGAAAACTCGGGATCCCGTCCGCTCTCCCATAGATAAGCCAATGAGGGCTGGAGTAGTAGTCGGGTCGGTGACGACCGGCGAATGCCCGGTGTTGAATGTATTTTTTTGGCCTTTTTTGAGTCTTTCTGGCTCGTAAACAGGGGCCATCGCCATGGCGTCTCGACGACCTTGCTTGCCTATTGTTATGCCCTGCCAGGATTGGCGTCGCGATTCTTATTGCCCCGCAGTATCTATCGGGTCTTTTCGCAGCCCATCTGTGATTGGCCACCCCCGACAGCCCACTGCTCCAACAGCCATGCGATCAACAGTGCCCGGCCGCTTTGAGGCGGTGACGATCCACATCACCTGGCTTCCGGACAGCACTGGCATCGGCCCAGACCGAGATTACACCAAGCCGCACATCATCAATCTTGGCATGAAGGCCGTTCATCGGTCCTAACTTTTCTTTCGTCACTGGATATCATACAACCGTGCCGTACAGTTGCCGGGCTGCTCACTAGCTATTTCTGAGTTTGTCCGGGGACGGAGCGGAGCCGAACTTTGCACTAGCCGGAGAGTTTGTCGCGGCCCACGTGGGTCGGCGGTGACTCGTCCTGACGCAAGTCTGAGGCCTTCGAAACGTTCGGTCTATCCGTTTTTCGGACGACTTCAAAGACCTTTTGAATTGCTTGAGTCACTTCTGGAGGGTCCGTTCGCAACAAATGGCCGAAATGCGTGCGAGGGTGTGTCGTGTGCTTGATGAGCGAACTATTTGGTCGCACAGGGACAACCGTCTACGGGCTTCTTTACCAAGGCGATCATGTGAATATTGATGACGGTCAGGTAAGATGTATCGGTGATATTGTCTTGCACACCCGGGGGGACGAGACATTCATTTCCGCTGTCATTGCCAATGTCCCGATCTTCTCCGTGACCGCAGCCCTGTGATGTCTCGCATCTGCGCCATCCAGCCTGGGTATCTGGTTGACTGTGCATGGTGTCAATGATAAGGAGGCTGACGAGGATGACAAGGTGGCCATTGTACATCCCAGTGAGTACATAGACCCACTTCTTGGTTGTGGCTTGGGTGATGGGTTTTCAGAAGTTGAAACGTCTTGTCAATGAAGCTGCTGCTATACGACCACTTGACGTCTGTAGAAATGAGGTTTGCGCCGTCGGACTAGGACGGCAATCACTCATAATGGTTGTGACTGCGTCCGAGGGTGCAGAGCTTGCGACGGTTCTCGGGTCGTTTGGTGAGGACCTTGTGGTTCCTACAGTCCAGACTCTCAGCGACGATGCGCTCTTCGCCAACGATATTGACGCTTCAGCTGTCCCAAGCCCCTCAAGGTTGCAATCAAAGTTTATTAGTCTTCTTCATGATGATATTCTGGATGTTCATCACCTCACAGGACTCCGGAGATGTCGTGGGCAGTGTAGTATTCCAGAAGCACAAAGCCGGAGAATTACAACCAGCCGTTTTGATTTCCACCGAACGCCGGAAAGTCTTGAGGTCGCAGTAATAAGTGAGTATGGAAAGAGCCTACCCTGATTTGGTGCGCCGTAATAACCACCCTCGCGTTGCTGAAAGCCTACCTGCTCACTACGGGTGGCCTAGCCCTGAAACTGTCTCGCCCATCTATCACCCGGAGGTCAAGGTAATGGAATGGGGGACCACACATGGTGCGATCCGACTGATCTGATGGGCCTGGAGTCCATAGACTGAAATAGCAAAAGCAATGCGATAGAAATATCAGCATCTTGCAAAGGTGGTTACACGGGTACCAAAATACACAAGAACCCGGTGAGTCGCTCGGCGTTTCTGAGCGCTTCACTGCACTATAATCAGTTTCAAGAAGTGGACCAATGTACACCACGGTTTACCCCAAGTATTAGCACATTCACCCACTTATCCAGAAGCTGGGGCCGATCAAAGCTCCCACGGAGGCAGCCGAGGGCGCAGCCATTCCCTCAAGGTAGGAATTTCAAGGTAAGGTAGGCGAGGTGCGACCTATCGGAGATGGTTTGTTTGGGACTTACCTCATGGCAAAGGAGATCCGCTAACTCATATCCTTCAGTCTTTCCAGCATCGACCTTCGGCGCTAATTGAACCTTTCGTCTTCAGTCAGGCGAGAAGAAGCTTTAGGGAATGAATCTTTCTTCTCTTCTAAGTTTTCTTTTTCGCAGTTTGCCGCCTGGAGGTGTACCTTGTTGACTGCTGTATGACTCGAAGCTTCAGGGTAAAGTAAATACAATGTATAGATAAGCCCGCTTGCCTATTTGTATCCAATTCGTACAATGCTGAACTCTATTGCAGTCACTTTCCGTACCAAGTGATGTTAGGGCGAACTAATCATACACCAGGGGGACAGAAAGGTTATGTTCGGTGGGAGAAGGTTTAAGACTCAAATAAACGTAGATGATATCAAGCATATATAAAGGGATCAACCCACATTTCGTTTTCCCGCAGTCTTTTCTTTGAAAAACTCTTCTTCTGCTCCCGTTTCCAACATTTTCAAAGCTCTTGGATACTTTGCCTTTGTTGTTTTATTCATTTTGCTGTTCAATTCAGAAGCAAACATGGGTCGGCCAAATAAAGACATGAAGAGAACAGATGATACATCTTCTTCTACTTCGCAAAATCGCAAGGGCAACAGAGCAAACCCCTCAAAACTTGCACCTTCGCCGATGGAGCGCCCAGCTGAATTTCGCACTACACCTGGGCTTCTGAGGCCTGAAGTCGACGCATCGCTCTCAAAGAACCCTGGAATGAAGAATGGCTTAGCCAGCTATCGACAAAGCTATAACGACAAAAAGCGATCGTTCAGTGAAATGGCGGGTGTAGAGAACACCGCAGACAAGAAAGCAAGATTTGAAGCAGCAACTGAGACGATTGACTCGTTTGTGAATCTGAAAGAAGCTGAGCTGGAATGTGCGAGAGAGAGGTCTTCAGTGTTGAGAAAGAGTTGGAGCGAAGGAAGTCTCGAAATTCCTAACGGAAAATACTACGAACTCCTAGAGGAATCTGAGCGGGATCTGAACTCAATCCTTGGAGAAGTGGCGACGTTGCGTTCTGAGAAGAACAAGATTGTTGGTGAACTTACCGACATATCTTTATTCCAACAAGAAGTTCAAGCTGCCCGCAGTCGGGACTGGAGTTATATCGATCTCCTGATCTCAAGATATTTGCCTGTTCACGGCGCTATTAAATCGGTCAAACCCACAAATTCCGATGCTCGCCGGCCTCAGTTCAGAAAAGCTCTTATAGAAGCATCAGGGTCTCTTTCGTCCGATGGGAAATCACTTTGGTGCCCAATTTCAAAAGCCTTTTGGCCAGCAATTGCATTGACCGCCGGACATGTTGTTAAAGTCAACGTTGGTGACAATGTCGCATTCGCCCTGTTCGGAACACCAGAAGATGAGAAAAGCCACATTTGGTCCAAGAAGAACGGTATCCTGATGCTCGAGGAGTACGAGGAAGCCTGGGATTCTGGAAGATTTGTCATAGTACCGAAGCTCAGAGACGATGGTTCAGAAGAGGAGACACTCAAGATTATTGTCCTTGACAGAAGTCTACTGGATGAGAAAGCCGCGATTAACAGACCCTGGGGCAAGGCACTAGACGGCCTAGAACTACAGTTCAAGACAAATCTCCGGCCTTTAAAACGATACTTGTATTTCAAATTTGTCATGACCATGCTGCGGCGCCAGCGCGGGGAAGCTCCTGGAGCGGCTCAAGACAGATACAAGGCTGGAGATATAGCAAAAAAGCTTTGGATGACTCCGGGAGGTTACTTGAAGGATTCGACCCTGTATGCCTTATCCCGACAGGCTGGGGTAATGGAGGATGAAAAGGCAATTGAGTTTTGGAATCTTATGGCCAAGCCAGAGCCGGTGTCTGAGCTAGCTGAAGAGGTGTCTAAAACCCTCGCACTAACGGCGGAGCTTGGTATGTCACTGCCAGACGAGAAGGGAAAAGGCAGAGAGACCGCCAGTGGTAATTTGGATGATGAGGAGATTGACGAATAGAGGATGAATCCGAGAAGACCCCTGCCACATTGGTGTTGGGTCGCGACCAGACGTCTAGCAAGTATGTATTACATTGGCAGAGATTGGTTCCATAAGTCTACAACGAACAAGAGAGTTCTGTCCTTTCCGAATCTATGCATATACCTATGTGAATACAGTTATTTATTGTTTTTCTCACTTCAGATTGACGAAGGGACTGGAACTTGACTGCTATCGCCCCGTACTCACTTCTTGTCTCGAAGTCATCAAAAACGTGCACAGCAAGTTGTTCCGTCATCGTCCTGGTGATTTCGAGACAACCCTGTCGCACCTTCACCACATTTGCCCTCGCATGGGACAGACGGGAAGTTGAGAGCCCCAATGGAGCGCATGGCTTGCTTCGGAACAATTGAAAACAAGTCCGATCAAGAACCGACGGAGCGCATCTCATACATCACTCTCCATGATGGCCATGCCCCACAGAAACAGAGCAGTTCCAGGCTTGGCCTGTACATCGTGACATTTGACCTGAGCGTAGGGAAAGAAAACTGCATCAATGCTATCATTTGAGACAGTCCAATGTATTTCAGCCTACATAGGTACAAGACGGATCTCTCCGAAGGTGAGAAGGAAAAGGATTTGCCGACTGAACTGGACGTGTCGTCAATAGCATGTATCTGCAACCATCGTAACGTGCAGTTTCAACAGAGCTACGCAGACATTTCATGGTTCATGCCAATAGAATAAGGAGTTTGATGAACAAGACTGTTTCCGCTGGTGTGGCGACAAAGCGTCACCTACGAGGTCTGCGTATCAGGGCGGATCTTACCACGACAGCCGAAGTGGTAGAGTAAGAAAGGATGGTGTGCTGGTTGCTTTACAGTTGATTTTCAACTCGCTTGTGCAGCAGAAGTGTGTATGGGCTGTTCAGCTCAATGATGGATCATCTTTGTCCCCGAATCGGCGTTGTAATCCTTCGAGATGTGAGGCGAAATGAAGAGTTGTCGTGTCTCATGAAGATTTTGCAGGGGTATACAAACTTTGAGGATAAGTTGATTCCTCAGCTTGAAAACCTCCTGTACTCTTTCATTGGTGGTCTCTTGATTATCGAAGGGGCGAAGCTAGCTTCCTCGCATGCATAACACGCAATTTAACCTAAGCTTCAAAATGAGCGGCCTTTATCTGGAGGCTTCAGTACTTGCTCGTTTAAGCGCTGATGAGCTACTTGTAGGCGCGTCGACAAGTTATATGCGAATTGATGCCATAGCGTATTTGGACTAGCCCCATGGGCGTTGTGACGTCTTATACGACTGCGGTCGTGTTGTGCACTAAGAACACCATGGACGAGTTGACTAAGTCCCTTAATTCCACGATGAGGGGCCTGCCGTCTGTGTCCGATGCTGGAAGTTCGTTCATTATGAGAAACGCCGTAACAGCCCGCCAGAGGAGACTCGACTCACTCAGAATTCTCGGGGCCACGAGTGAGACCCAAACATCATCATGGATATGATACTGCTCAAAACATGTCCATTATCGGAGTACTTGTGGCCGAGGTGTGAAGCCTGGCTGAAACGTCCCGCGTCCGGAGGGGCGGGGCTTTAGGTGTCTCTATGTGGTGTCGAGATGAAGGCCAAATTCTCTCAAAGGCAAGACTCCCTGGGGGGCAGGGCAGAAACCATGCAACAGTCTTCGTAGCCTACAATCCTCCATGTCAGTGACGCCTCGTTGAAGGGAGCGGAAGAGTACACGATTCCCTGTTGCGCTATAGTTTCTGTTCATCATACCGCTCCAGATATGAAAAGAAATTCATATATTCCATGTGCATGACAAGATGTGCCATGGAGCTGCGGTCTCAACTTCGGGGTTTTGTAGATGAAGGCTACGAAAGCTCTTCTGACGCTGGCAGAGGGCGCCTTACAAGTTGCCTTTGTAAGAATGCGCCTGGAGAGATGACATTAAAAAGGAGCCAAATGCACGGGCTATCTCTCTCGGTACTCTGAAAACCCAGACCCAATGTATTTGTCTCACTCGGGTTCTGGACATGCGAATGATTTCCTCAACGACGTCGGAGCATTCTCTGAGCTTAGATCAAGTTCGTCAACATGGGTTGAGGCGTGTGTGGAACCAACATGAGGGTTCACATGACCCAAACTCTTCCGATTGGGATCAGAGTAACACCTTCTGCCACGTCGGAAATGAGGGGGGAAGTGGAATTCGAGAGTACGGCGCAGTCCCGATCTCCGACGAGAGGACAACGACAAATTCGTCAAGTGTGTGGGCATGTTATATGGAGATCCTGAAGTCGAACGGGGTCCCTGGTCGATTTGATCGGCGGAATGGTAAGAGCGCCAGCGCCGGCAGAATGGCAGGGGGCCAAACGCGAATAGCGGGGCCGGGCCCGTCTCCGCAGCCCGGGCGTAATGGGTGGGGCCGAACCCAATCAATGGGGCCGACCACATCGGGGTCGAACATGATGGCACTGGGGTCATCGTGAAGACATGAGACTGTGAATCAAATGGGCGGATGTCACTGAGGTCATAGAGATGGTATATCTTACAAAATCAGGGATATTCTTAAAAAGTCCCCACGGAACTGGGGACATTCTTCCTGCGACTACAACCTCGGTCACTGCCAGCGCCACCGGCCAGGCCGATGCCTGCAGTGCGAATGCCCGTTTGAGGTTGATTGATGCCCTGGTCACTCATCATCGCCGCAAGCGCCCATGGCTGATTCTCCCGCTTCGCTTCTGAAAACTCCGCGGTCTCGCGGCCGTCTTGAGCACCTGCCCGACCCCCGCGAATCCGCAGCATCAAACACGACGATTTACGGCCATGGTTGTCTTAGATCCTCAGTTTTGAACCTCACGAACCGTCTGTCTGAGCTCATCGCAGATCTCCTCGGCACGTGTCATATTTGCGAGACCGATGGGTACCTCCAACGTCAGTTTCAGCATCAATCATCTCTTCCTCCGGAGCTCTGCTGCCTTACATAACTTTCATTGATGTCAATGCATCATCGCCATGAAGGCCTGGATCCCTCACTCGCATGTCCCGTGAGGTCTCCGCCGGCAGAGTACGCCACCAAGGATTAGTTACTCGTCAATTTCTCTGTAATGTCGCGAGTTAACAATGATGGCCATAGTATGATTCTTCAAATGCCGTCATTGCCGAGTCATGGAAAACAACATAACTTGTGTTCCGGAAGTCGAATATCGGTCAATATGATTAACCTAGAGCGGTTGTCTCCTGATCGTCAGCCCACCAGCCAACTCATTGTCGAAGCCACCAAGATCCAGATCCTCACGCAAGGGGCACGCAGCAGCCCTTCCTTCAGACGTGATTGATCCGGAACAAGGCTAATTTGCATCTCATGGGACTGCCCCTCCAACACATCTCATGTCGACAATTGCCACTCACATCCATGCTGAAAAGTCCATTTGGGAATTGACGAAGGCAGCCCGGATGTGCGCCAAGGTGGAGGCCCACCGCGTCGGACGCAAGTGAACAGCCGTATACCAGGGATACGTACATATCCTTCTACTTTTGAATGATTATCATTCCGTGCCCGACCACGAACCGAAGTCCGCTGGAAAACGATAAATATTTGGCCTTCTTCAGCATTAGATCGCCGCGCTCGAATCCCAGGCAGGTTGCACAAAACGTTTTGCAGCAACCCAAGTAGGCCGACGGCTTACAGAAGAGTAACCCCGACCGACATCTGCTGGTGTAGTCATGGTCAATATGGTCCGTAGCTTGGCGCGGGAGAATGATGTGAACTATACCTAGCAGATCTTGAAAATGGGGAGGAGATTTTGACGAACAATATACTCGTGTTCTTTGGCGCAAGCCATTCATTCGCCCTGCCTCCATCATGGCAAACATCCTTCAGCATGGGTATCAGTCATATGCGAGATCTCAAGCCAATCAAACACATGCGCAGAGCCTCTAATGACCAACAACCAGCCCAACTGCTACTTGAGTTTACCATCGGGACAAATGCGGTCCTAGGGAGCTCTGTGTGGCACTATAGAGTCGAGTGTGATCGTGAAGGCGGTGTTGTCACGTTGAACTTACAACAGTAGACCCCATATACATATATTTCATAAGAAACCTACTGTTCTGAATGCAAGTACTGCTTAAATGGGATAAAAATCTCAGTCGATATGACCGCAAGAAGCCGGCGTCAATGGGTCACGTCTGAGGTACGGTTCATATTGGCGAGAATGTCAGAGAATCCGTCGGTCCTGTAGATAGAGGTCACGGAGACATCAGCATTGGGGAGCTTTTGGCTGTTGACAATGATGACACCTTGTATATCTTGGGCTCAACTGGGAACTGCCATGGGCCCTGGGATCCGCTGATACAGCGGGGCTTGCGAGTGCACATGACGACGATCACGAGCGATTTTGGATACCGGATGATCTTTGGAGCTCATACAAACTTTGAAATGTCTAGACGTGAAGTCTGGTACCCTGCATTTCTAGAAATATAAGTTTGTTGCTGAACACCAGAAGCTGGCGATTTTAGATTCACGCCCCTCTAGGATTTTCAATCTCTGAGCTGGTAATGGCAATATGCTAATAGGATGGAGGAATGGCTCCTGCTCTGTAGACTTGTTGGAAGTCGAATGGATGTAAATGCTCTACTGAGTGGGATGATGCTAATGATATGGAAATGAGACGCTTGGCCGTGTGTTGAAGGCAGTGGGCACGCGAACAAACAAGGGAATGGATTGAAGTAATCTCGATGGTCGGATGTTCGCTTGAATTGACGAGATTCCAGTCCGCATTCGGTGAGCTGGAGGCGGTAGGAGGAATTGGCAGGCACAGAGGAGAATCCACGATGGAAAGGGTCTTTTCCAGCTACTTCAGTGGGCACCACTATCCCGTCTTGTGTCAACGGTTCATCCGCGGTCTGTCATCTTCCGGTCGCCCTTCAGTAAAAACAAAACATAAATGCTGCCGTTGACGGTAACCCGCTCCTCGGATACGCCCTGCATCGACATCATGACAAAAGCAATCT